TAGAAATGTGTTCAGAAGTTTTGGGTTCAAGTGCTGGAGACAAAATGAAAACCATTCCTCTTTCTAATAATACAATTGGACACAGGATTGATGAACTGTCTGCAGATGTTGAAGATCAACTGATTCAAAAAGTCAGAGAGTCAAAATGGTTTGCCCTTCAAATAGATGAGTCTTCTGAAATCTCAAATATCACCCTTCTTTTGTGCTATATTCGTTTCATTGATAATGATTGTAGTGATATAAAAGAAGAGTTATTATGTTGTATTGAAATGCCTTCTCAAATAACTGGTTTTGAAATATTTGAGCTAATAAATAAATATATTCATAGTAAATCTCTGAATTGGAAACATTGTGTTGGTCTCTGTACAGATGGGGCTGCAAGCATGACTGGCAGGTATTCTGGTTTAAGGGCAAAAATTCAAGAAGTTGCCATGAATACACTGGCATTTACACATTGTGTTATTCACCGTGAACATTTAGCAGCAGAAAAGTTGTCTCCACGCTTACATGAAATTCTTTTGCAGTCAGCACAAATTTTAAGTTTTATAAAGAGCAATGCATTGAAGTCACGTATGTTAACAATTTTGTGTGAAGAGATGGGGTCTGAGCATGTGAATTTACCACTTCCTGCTGAAGTACGGTGGATATCAAGAGGGAGAATTTTAACAAGATTATTTGAATTACGACATGAAATTGAAATTTTTTTAAATCAAAAGCATTCAGATTTGGCCAAGTATTTTCTTGATGAGGAATGGGTTGCAAGGCTGGCCTATTTATCAGATATTTTTTCACTTATAAATGAACTAAATTTAAGTCTCCAAGGAACGATGACTACACTCTTCAATTTATATAATAAAATGGATGTATTTAAGGAAAAGTTAAAAATGTGGTTGAAGCGCACACAGGAGAATGATTATGACATGTTCCCTTCATTTTCTGAATTCTCAAACTCCTCAAGCTTAAATATGAGAAGCACTGCAAGCATTGTTTTTGAGCACCTGGAAGGACTTTCTCAAATGTTCAATGACTGTTACCCACCAGAGGAAGACTTTCGTTCAGGAAATTTGTGGATAATTAATCCTTTTATGAATCACCAAAATAGTAATCTCAAGGACTTTGAAGAAGAAAAGCTAGCACAGTTATCCTCAGATTTAGGATTACAATCAGTATTTAAATCAATGTCTGTAACTCAGTTTTGGATAAAAGCAAAGACAAGTTACCCAGAACTCCATGAAAAGGCAATGAAAATTTTATTGCCTTTTTCATCTATTTATTTGTGTGATGCTACATTTTCAGCTTTGACTGAGTCAAAACAAAGAAATCTGTTGGTTTCTGGCCCTGCCCTAAGACTTGCAGTCACATCTTTAATTCCAAGGATAGAAAAATTAGTAAAGGAGAAAGAATAGTGTAAAGAATATTGTTTATCAAATTCTATAATTTCGTGTTAAATTTTGTATGGGATAAGTATCCTAAAATATAATTTCCTAATGTGGTTATGTGTTTTCAGTGATTAAATGTTTTAATAATTTTTCTCTTTTTTGTTGAGGAATTTAATCATTACACATTTATACATAATCATATATAATTTTAAGAGTCCATGGTAGAGAATTTAGCTATTTTATTGACTGATTTGAATTAGTGACAAAGATTTAGGTAATGAAAAGTCCAGTTTATAATGTATTATATAGCACACCTGGATGTTGAAACTGCTTGGCCTTTAGAAGCATGTGGGACATGTTAGTCTTCAGCCAGCCTGTCTCCTACTACAGCAGGTTGTGGGAAGGTAGAAAAAAAAGATCTAAGCAGCTTGGCTAACAGGAAATGAAAGCAGCAGGAGAGTTTGAGACCCCTATAGGGGGCCTCTCTGGCCCACTAGACCAGGGTTTGGCAAACATTTTTCATAAAGGGCCAGATAATATTTTAGGCTTTGTGGGCCATAGGTGACAACTACAGTACTCAGTTTTGTGGTTGCCACACAAAAGGAACTGTAACAATACACAGATAAATAGTGTGGCTGTGTTTCAATAAAACTTTATTTACGAACATTGAAATATGAATTCATATAATTTTCCTGTGTCATGAAAGCTGCCTTTAAAATTTTTATCATTAAAAAATGGAAACAAACAAAATATTGTTAGCTGGGGGAGGAGGAGGGAGTAAAAAAAAACAAAAAAACAGCTGACCGAATTTGGCCTAGTTTGTCCCACAAGGTCTAGACAGATTTCCAGATCAAGATTAGAGGGGCCAGGAGTGGCCTATAGAGTTTTGTTCTGTGAAAGACTGTCTTGCTGTTAATGGTGAATGTTAGATGTTAGACTTTGGTTCTTGAGTTCGTCTAAGAAAGGAATTCAGAGCCAAGGAACTCAAATACAAGTGAAAATTTATTTAGAAAGTCACAGGGGTAGAAGAAGTGACTCAGCTAAGCTGTGTGAACTCAGGAAGCAAGTTACAGAGGCAAAAGAAGGGCCCTTGGAGCTTAGGAGAAAGAAAGGCAAAGAAAACACGCATGGGGGAAGGAGAGGAGCGGGGAAAGCACAGGAGTGGGGGCAGGAGGAACGAGCGTGAGCTGGGTCTTTGGTTTTTAGAGCTTTTTTCTGGAGGTCTCAGGGGAGGATCTCAATGGACTATTCATCAGCTTTTCGAAGTGTGTCTTCTCAAGGTTGTGGTCTCCACTGACTGGTTGGTGCCAGGGCAGAGGCTCTTTAGTCATGCAGCTGGTGCTGATGTCAGCCAAGGTGTTGCCCCTCCTGGCCTTGCTGCTTTTCTGGGCCTGGAGCCTAACGTTGCCAGAGAATTGAGTGGGTTGAATTCCTCTGTCACTAGTGGGAGTGGGGTTTTTGTGATATTTTGAGAAAAGGAATTTTCTAAGACTCTCACAGAATGATTTTTTTTTTAATCCTCAAACCCAAGGACATTTTTGCATTTATCCTCAGTTGGAGTGGGAGGGAGAGAGGGAGGACGAGAGAGAGAGAGAAACATCGATGTGAGAGAGACACATTGACTGGCTGCCACCCACACGACCCCAACCAGGGCCGGGGACAAACCACAACTGAGGTACGTGCCCTTAATGGGAACTGAACCTGGGCCTCTCGGGTCCGCAGGCAGGCCAACGCTCTAATCACTGAGCAAAACCAGCCAGGCAGGAGAATGATTTTTTTAAAAAATTTTTTTGTTACTGATTTTATTTTTTTTTATCCTCACCCGAGGACATTTTTTCATTTTTTTTTGTTCAGATAAAGAGAGAGGGAAACATCAAAGTGAAAGGGATACATCGAGTGGCTGCCACCCGCACAACCCAACCAGGGCCGGGGACAAACTGCAACCGAGGTACATGCCCTTAGTGGGAATCAAATCCAGGTCTCTCCGGACCGCAGGCCGGCGCTCTAACCGCTGAGCCAAACCAGCCAGGGCAGGAGAATGATTTTCATTGGCGTGGAATTACATCCCTCAGGTTGCAAAGTCCCATTTCCCTTAGTCCAGTCCTGGAAGAGGGGTAGCTGAGAATTCAGCAGAGCTAGAAGCAGGGCCAGTGTCCAGAGTTTCTGTTCCCTTGTGGAGTTGAGTCCAGCACAGCATCAGACATCCAGCTTGTCAGTCTGTTAGTCCATTGTGTGGGTTCCACATGACCATGAGCCATGTAGGCGAATGCCCCCTGCAGTAGGAGTCCCAAGAGAGCAAGAGGGCCAAAAGCCAAGAGAGAGAACATCCTTTGTTCAGTTTATGTATCTTAGATTCCCTGCCCTTGCATTGGCCATGCGTGTTCTGGCCAATTACCTGTTTTCAGGTGTGCTTGACAAGTAAACATTTTTCCACATCACCCAGACCTTATTGGGCAAGCATCTAAACTGCATTTGTCCAGTCTTCCTCCATTGATCGGGGAACAGACTTGGAGAATATGAAATAGCGGCTTTCTGGCAAAGCTGTATTAGTGGCATGCCTATATAATTTAGACTCCCCTTTGCTCTTTTCTTGTTAAATTATAACCAGATTATTAGAACAGTATCACTAGATGTTATCTCTAGTTTGACCAAAACTTGTCTCTGTGGTCAACAGACCGTAGGCTTTGTTCCTAAAATTATTTGATGCAGATCAGAACCTCATTGTCCTGAGGGCTTAATGCTTAAGGGACCGGTCATGCAAGGGAGCCATATGAGGCTATTCGTTGGCTCCCTTGTTTCTCCTCTAAGGAGGTGGACCACAGGATTAGTGACATGCCAGGGGAGGGTCCAAACTGCATCACCAGTGATATGAAAGGTTAGGGGGTCTAAGTCCCACCCTACAATACTTGATTTCCTAGTTTTGCCTGTTGCTAGGCACCCAGGGCTTTGCATCCTGGTGACCGTCTGTACCTGGCCTATGGTTCCTACTCCGCTCATGCCTAACTGCCCCCTATGCCACTAATTTTCAAACACCTTTTATATTTTCATTTCAGAGAAGTTAGAGAGAAAATATGCAAAAGAGCAATTTATTTTATAGTGACTAGTTATTGATTTATTACTAATAATTCCACAAATTAATTTGCAAATAACTTTTTGAGCTCACACCTGTGCCTATGACAGACTCAGGAGGACTGATACAGCACGGTCCCTATTTACAGAAGCAGTTACTGAGGCCCACCAGGTTAGATGACAGCTGGGTCTCAAAGCCAGGGTGGCACAGGCAGGAATGAAGCCCTAGCCTTTTGATCCTAACGGAGCTCTTCCGCAAGCCACGTCCAGATACCTAACGTTTGACTCCACTCTCCGTATTGACTGGGAGACATTTTCCCTAAATTCAATGGGGCCCATTCAGTTAGTTAAGAGCCAGTGGGCCTCAGTGACCCTATCAGAGACAAACACCGAGTCTGTACCCCCACCCCCGCCCCACAACCGGTACTGGGACAAAAGAGGGTGGGACCAGCCTTGGACAGGGAGGCCCAAGCGCGCACCCTGCAGCCGCCCAGGGCGGGAGGAAGTAAACCCGAGGCGGCGGCTTCTGTTCCCTCCCTCCCGAGGGCCTGCGCGGCCATGGCGCTCCTGCTCGCCGCTCTGCGCGTCCTGCTGGGCGGCTTCTTCGTGCTCACAGGGGCGGCCAAGCTCTCGGAGCACATCTCGCCTCCCGTGTCGCGGCAGATGGTGAGCCGCGCGGCGTGGGCAGCGGGCAGCGGGCGGACGGGCCCCAGCGGTTACCCCGGCGCCCGGCGCGCCCCGCCCCCGCCCGCCTGCACCCCGCCCTGCCGACCCGCCTGCCTTAGGGCCTGACGGAACCAGAGCTGGGGGAAGAGCCCCTGGACCGCGACTTCCACGTGGACAGCTTCCTGGAGAGTTTCCGTAGACAGAAGGGGTCGGGAAGTCTCCTTCCAGCCGAGCTTTGGTGGCCTAGGCAGGAGGAGTGCTCGGGACCCTGGGGGAGAAAGATGGAGGAAAAGGGACACACTCCTTCCTTCCCTGCTCCCTTTCGCTCCCTCCTTTGCCTGAGTTCTGGGGAGATTCGTGATGCAGGGGTTTATTAATCCCCATTTGGCAGGGTGGGAAACCCGCCCTGAAGGGGAAGTGTATCTTGTAAAGGTTACACAGCTAGTCAGGAAGTAGGACCCAAACTAGACCTTCTCTTAACTTGGAACCCAGAGAGCCCCTTTCTGGAGGATGGAGCCTGAGACGGGGCCTGGGAGTCGCCCTCAGGCATTCTCTTAGGCCTGTCTAGTTCTAGACTCTGGGGAAAACTTTCATGTTCTATTATTATTATTATTGTTATTGTTATTTTTGTTAATCCTCACCTGATGGTATTTTTTCCATTGATTTTTAGAGAGATTGGAAAGGAGAGAGAGAGAGAAAAAAACCTTGATGCAAGAGAGACACATTGGTTGGTTGCCTACGACACACACCCCAAAGGGCGGGGGGGGGGGGGGACGACAAGGAGTGAACCTGCAACCCAGGTACATGCCCTTGACCAGAAATTGAACCCGAGACTCTTTGGTGCATGGGCTGGCACTCTAACCACTGAGCAACATGGACCAGGGCACTTTCATGTTCTTATTCCCACCAGTCCCTCAAGACTCTCAAACAAGCCAGATTTGGAGACCCCCTGCCAGCTCCCTCTCCCAGGCCTGAATTCTCCCCTTCCTTTCTGGCTTAAGGTGATGAATTCGGGCAAGTTGGTCCCCAGGGCCAGACAGCTTAGAGCTTTTTCCTTGCATTGCTGAGTGTAAGGGAGGTAGAGTTGAGGTGAGGGAGCAGGAAAATGTGGCCCTGGACAGAGCCCAGCAAGCAAGATGAGTCATTTTGAGCCCCCTCAACTCCCCTTGTATCTACTGCAGTGGGATCCAGGCACAAGCATATGATGTAGAAAGTGGAATCTGTTTAATGAGCAACAATCTGCCCTTTCATCCTCTCTCCCAACTCTAAATATTCCCTGCATAGTACCTGAAGAGAAGCTAGGCCAGGCATAAAGAAAAGCTATGGAGTTCCCAAGGCCTTGGCTCTTGGTGGAAGGCCCAAGCCTTGCTTCCTTTTCCTGGAATTTGGGGCTGGTGAGAAAATCAGTCCATCTCTGCATCACCGTCCAGCCCTTCTTGGAGCGTGAAGCTTGTTTATGGATTCAGCCCCCCAGAGAGGCTCTCTCCTTTCCAGGCTGACCTCAGCCCTGGACTTGATCTCCAGTAGTAACTCCTTTGTTGGGGGAGTGGACCTAGGCACCAAATGTCCCTGTGGAGCGCCTGGGCAGTGGATCCTTGGTGAGTGGCTTACAGGCATTTCCTGCCACCCCTAGAAAGCCCTGTTTGTGCAGTTTGCTGAGGTGTTCCCGTTGAAGGTGTTCGGCTACCGGCCAGATCCCATGAGCTACCAAGTGGCTGTAGGCTGGCTGGAACTGCTGGCTGGGTTGCTGCTGGCCCTGGGCCCACCGATGCTGCAAGAGATCAGTAACTTTCTTTTGATCGTGCTCATGATGGGTAAGGAGGGGTCCACCTGGGCAGAGGAAAGGCGGACTTCCTGGGGAGGATGAAGGGAAGACCTGGCTGTTCCTCTGTTCCCTTTTGCTGTTGCTACCCTCCTTTTCTCTGGAACCAGGAGCACTTCCTGCTGTACTGCAGTTCCACGATCTTCAGACTAGGACCGGTGCTTTTCAAACTTAATGTACTGTAACACTATTTTATGTCAACTCTGCCTTTACCTCATCAGTTCTATTGGCTGCATGGTATTCCATTATAAGGATGTGTTATAATGTAACCTAGAAGCCCTACTGCTCTCCTTGCGTCCCACGAGATGAGAGGATGGAGTAGCAGCTGCCATTTGACCTGTGTGTCTGGCAGTTGGAGACAAAGAAGCTGAGCCCCCTGAACAGAAAGGCAGAGAATTTCCCTGGGGCAAGAAGTCCTGGAGGGTCCTCCTCATAGCAGCTCTGCCCACAGGAACTGCTGCTTTAAAGGCCAGACGTCTTCAGGCTCTTCTGTCTATACCCCATGCCCCACCCCCACCCCAGCCTTGTGTCACCATGGCTGCCGCCACTCCCCCAGGCTTTCTTTCCATCTCTGGAGCTTCCCTTCAGACTAGGACCGGTGCTTTTCAAACTTAATCTTCAGACTAGGACCGGTGCTTTTCAGATCTTTCCTTCTTTTCTACCATCACCAACCCCTGGGCCTCCTTCCCTCCAGCAGGATTAATGAAGGAGTAGGAGCAGGGAGAATTTGTTCCAAATGCCTGTCTAGCCACCTCCCTGCCCCGTTGGGCTGTATTGTTCCTGTTTCTTTCTTGCTGTCTGAGAGGGGTTACATTGGTTCAAAAACCTCCTGATTCCTGGTCTTGCTTTTTCTGGGCAGCCAGGGAGACAAGTGCATCTCGTTTAGGGTGTGTGTGTGTGTGTGTGAGGGGGGATGCCTAATGGGAGGACTTGAGCTGGAGTGGGTCAGCCTGGGCGGACAGCCATGAGCTCCAGGATCTCCTGGGTGCCCCCAGGGAGCCTCAGAGACCCAACTTTCCATTCCAGGGTCTATCTTCACTTTGGTGTCTCTGAAAGAGTCACTGCACACCTGTATCCCAGCTGTCGTCTGCCTGGTGCTCCTGCTGCTGCTGGATATCTGCCAGTTCTTAGTCAGACCCACAAGGAGGAAGACTCCAAGTACAGTCAAGGAATCCTGGGAGTAGAGTGCCCCTCGCCTCGCTGTGCCATGCCACCGTCACGGCAGGAACACAGAGGGACACAGAACCTACCTCCTGCTTACCAGAGTCAACATGTGGCCAGTGTTGAAGTAGACATCTTGCCTACCTGGCTCTGCTTTCTCTCTTGGGCATCTACTGCTCTTTTTGGACATTTACTAGCATTTCTCTTGTCATGTGAACATGGAAAATAAGCAGAAAAGAAATTTAAATCACCCCAAATTTTACTGCCTTAACTATTTTCAATTTCTTTGTATAGCTGTGCCTTTGAACTTTTTTCTATGCCTTCATACAGATTTTAAAAATTGAATATGAGACCATATATACTATTTTATTGCCTGCTTTTTGAAGCTAATACCCTGTAACAGCATTCCATATCTGTCTTACCTTGTTGATGTTAATGGCTGTGTAGTATTCCATTGTAAGATATACTGTAATGTATTTACTCAAACCACACTGAGGAATATTTGGATTGTTCCCATGTTTTTGCTATTGTAAACCTCACAGTAAGTCACCTTTGTATACTTATTTTCTTTTCCTAGAAGGGACAGTGCTGGTTTAAAAGGCATACACGCAACAAAAAACAAAAAACAACATAAGGCATGCACATTCTTAAGGTTTTTATTACTTACACGTTGATTATGGCAGAGTACAGGTGCCTGCTTCTGCCTGTGCCCTTCCGAGCCAAATGAAGTATTTCCTCCTATTTCTTTTTTTTTTTTCTTTATTGATTTTTAGAGAGAGAGGAAGCGAGAGGGAGAGGGATAGAAATATCGATGAGAGTGAACACCAGTTGGCTGCCTCCTTCATGCCCCTCACTGGGGATTGGGCCCACAACCTGGGCATGTGTCCTGACCGGGAATCGAACTGGCGACCTCCTGGTGCATGGGTCGACGCTTAACCACTGAGCCACACCGGCCGAGCCCTCCTATTTCTTTTTATCTTGGGCACTTTAGCTTTGCAAGCTAACAAAGATGGGCATTGCATCATTTTACAGGACCTGAAACTGCCAGGTGGTGAGGTGGGGCACTTAGTGCAGAGCTCCTTGGACACCTGCATGGAAGTAAGGGACAGTCAACCCCAAGGGATGCTGCCTGTTCAAGCAGTGCCGGAAGCCAGGGATGAATCCCAGAGGTCCTAGAGTCAGAAGGATGTGTATGTGTGTGGGGGGCAATTCTCAAGGAAAAGTCACCAGGTTACGTTCTATCACATCACCAACCATCTTGACCTCATACACACACACATATATATATACATATATTAGTACATATATATGTAGTAGTATACACGTACTTCAGATATAGTATCAAAACAATAAGAAAGCTTTCACTCTCATAGGTCCAGAGATAACAGCTTCAGCTTCAATGTCGGGTAATTTGGCTGCCTTATGATGACATCAAAGGTTGATGTTTTTTCCAACTTTCTGCTCTGCTGCTTTCGATCTGTTGGCTACTGCCCTCAGGGTTGCAAAGTAGTTGCAGCAGCTCCAGAGTGCACACTTGCACATACCATCCATCCAAAGATGAAAAGAAAGAGAAAAGCTCTCTTAGGAGACCCCCAGATTTCCCCTCACATCCCACTGGTCAGAATTGTGTCACATTTTCATTCCTAGGCCAGTCACTGGCAAGGAGAATGGAGTTCCCATCATGGACTTAAACGAGTGAAGGTTTACCACACTGCTCAGCAAGGGAGGGGGTAGAAAATGGTTTCTGCCACTTACTAGCTTATTTGCAGAATATATTTTAAGAATGGTAGATACTTCTCAGAGTTGCTGTGGGGATTTTGTGGGTTAAAGTGCTTACAGTAGTGCCTGGCACATAATAAGTGTTCAGTAAATGCTATTATCAAATACTGGTTTGTTCTACAGATGAGAAAATGGATTCAGCAAGCTTAAGTGCCTGTGTGTCAGATCTGAGACTAGAATTAAGGTCTGATTGACTCCAGAATGCAGTTTCCATTGCGCCAGCTGCCAAAGTCGGAAGTGGGCAGGCATGGCGCCCCTGCTCTCTTCAACTTGAGGGTACATGGGGTGATCTGTCCAATGTGATTAAGTCTGCCTTGCTTTCCAGAATTGTCCTTCTGCATGAAAATTTTAAGCCCACAAAAGTAGAGCCTGGAGCCCCTAGAATCCTGGCCTCTCACCATCTCCACCCCTTTCAGGATGCCACAGCCAAGACTTTGAGTGAAACCTCTCACCGCTGGCGCGGGATTGAGGGCTCCTGCTTGCCAAGGCTCGACCTGTGAGCTGATTAGTTGCTACGGGGCCCCCCTGGCTTGGCTGTCGGGCCCACCCAGCAGCTGTGGGCAAGGCAGGGTGCTAGAGGAGTGGGCTGGCCAGCGGGTGTGCAGGAGCACTTGGGGTTGACGGCAGCAGGAGTATCCTGAGCTACAGCAGTGGGGGCTCAGCGCACGGGGAAGCCAGGCTCCAGGAAAAGTGCCCCCCACGCCGCAGCTGAAAGCCAGGTTAGGGCAGCACAGTGACGTTCTGCTGCCAGGGCTTCCTCATGCCTTTCCATCGCTTTCCCTGTGCCCTCTTGTCCTGCAATGGCACTCCCTCCCCTTGGGGCCCTGGCCTCACCCCACACACCCTGCCCCTAGCTGCCACTTCCCTCTCCAGCGGTTAGGCCCAATCTTCATGTCATGTCCTGGGACTAATCGGTTGACGGGAGGGTCTGGGATGTGTGAGTGGAAGTGGATTTGGTTCTGTCTGAGCTTGTTAAAGCCAGGTCCCAAGGGAATGGGGGGGGGGGGTGAGAGAGAGAGAGAGAGAGAGAGAGAGAGAACAAGAACTGGCTGCAGCAGCCAGAACAGTAAGAGGACTGATCTAGTGGGATAGCGAGGGGACATTCAGGGTCAGGCAGTTGGGGACTAGAGCCTTGGTGGGCAGAGCTGAGAGGGAGGGCAAGAAAGGAAGACACTCAGGATCCCACAAAGGATTAGAGCCTGAGAGGTTCAAAGGCAAAAGTACAAATTTTGGTACGAGTTTTGGGACCCCCTAAGAGTTTACCGTGTGTCCAAAACAGGAACAGGACATTGGCTTGTGTGTGTACTTACCCACCGTGGGGAGAGGAGAGGCATACATCCAGATGCTGCGTTGTTTTGTTTGCTTGGGGTGCCTGTGTCTCTGACGCTGTGTGCGTGCCTGTGTGGGTGTGCACAGTCGTCTGTGTGCTGCCTGGAGGGAAGGGAGCTAATGGTTATGAAGTATCTCCCCAGTGTCAGCCAGTGCTCAGAGTTTTACTTATGTTTTCTCATAATCCTCCCAATAACACTGTGAGGTAGGTATTTTAATCTCCATTTTACAGCAGAGAAGACAGGCTCAGTGAAGCTGAGTAATTTGCCCAAGGTCACATGGCAGATAAATGTGTGCATCTAGAATCTGCCTGATTCCAGGGCCTGTGCTCTTTTTGCTTTGCTGTCCAGTGTTGAGTCAGATCCAGGACTTCTCTGTGGTCAAGAGGCAAGGGGGAAGGAAGGGGGCTGGAAGGCCCGAGCTGCGAAAGCTCTTCGGCTCTGTCCAGGGTACTCCGGGCAAGCCCCGGTAGAGGACCTTCACCAAGGCAAGGCCAAGGCCACTAAACTTAGGCTCGTCATCTGGATCCGTGCACCGTAAGACCCGTCCTCCGCCCACGCCCCACCGGCTTCCCCGCTGATCTGGATGGCTTGGGCTCTTTCTGGGAAGGATTCCCTACATCCCAGTGCAGTTTCTTCAGAACTTCCAGTTGGTTCAGCCTTGCTTGAGCTGACTGCCATGCCCGTGCCCCCCCCCTTCTGAACCATACTCCCTCTGTGAGGGGCACCTCCACCCTCCCAGGCACCAGGTTGGAAATTTCCAAGCTGTCTCGGACATCTGCCTCTTATTTCCCACAGCTTTCAACAAGCCCACTCAACTTCAAATAACCCTGGAGTCCATGCCCTCCTCTGCATCCCCTCCGGGTGGTGGCTGAGCTCAGTCCTCATCCCCTCCCGTGGGTTGCCTTGCTTCTGGTGTCTCCTCCCAGCAAGGACTGAGGAAGAAGGGTTGGGATTGGGGAAAGTGGTAAGCCTCCGCATGACCTTCCTTCCTCTCCCTAGTCCAAAGTCCGAGATGAAAGCAGTGTTGGGGACCTGCGTGTTGGTGGCTGCAGCCCCTGGGATGACTGCTCACTTCATCATGGTGCCCGTGGCCTACACATTGGCACTGGGGCTGCCCCCCAGCAGGGCTACCCCGGCAGCGTTCATCCACGGCAGTAGGTGCCTGGGCCGAGCCCTGCATCTCCACCTGCTCCACCTGGCCCTGGCCGATGTGCTCTTCCCGCTCTCACGGACACTGCTCACCTGCCACCTGGCTGCTGGGAGGCCACCTGCCATGCGGCTGGGTACTACCCGTCCACCTATATGGCCACGGCTTTGATGCTCTCATGTGACCCTGCAGCTTGGTGCACCCCTCTGGGCCCAGGTGACCTTCAGCCCACACCGCTGCCTTGCCCGCCTGCCCGGCCTGGCCTATGCCACGGCCCCCAGGGCCTTCTTCACGGCTGCCTTCCTGCTGGTGCTCGTGGCCTACGTGAGCCTGCCCAAGGTATTCCAGGCAAGCTCCAGGAGAGGACCTTCATCAAGACAAGTCCAAGGTCACTTTTGCAACTCTGACATCACCTTCACTGTGCCAAGACTCCTGTACCAAGACTTGGTGGTAATCATTCTGCTGTTGGCTGGGACTGGGATTCAGCAGACTTGCTGCCTTTTGGCTGAGCTGGGACTCTGTCAGTAGGTGCAAATCCCTGCCAATGGCTGTGGCCACCAGTGTTTCCTTCTTAATGTGTTGATGGCTCTAGAGTTGGCTTCAGGTGGGGAAGGCAACCACTCCTCTTCTCAGCCATGTGCTTGGGTCTCAAGGGGTTAGAGCTTAACGAATGAGAGCAGCATGTTCATGTTGCCAAGCTGGTCGGAAGGGTCCACCCATCAGCCACCTTGTCCTACGGACTTGCACGTCTTGTTGCTGAATTTGCCTTGTAATGACAAACTTGATAAATCCCCTCTTTTCTTTTTTTTTTTATCCTCACCCGAGGACATTTTTCCATTTTTTGTTCAGGTAGAGTGGGAGGGAGAGAGAGGAACAGAGAGAGAGAGAAACATCGATGTGAAAGGAACACATCGAGTGGCTGCCACCCGCACAACTGACCAGGGCCGGGGACAAACTGCAACTGAGGTACGCGCCCTTAGCGGGAACCGAACCCGGGTCTCTCTGGACCGCAGGCCGACGCTCCAACCGCTGAGCCAAACCGGCCAGGGCCCCTCTTTTCTTTTTGATAAATTACCTTTCATTGGTCTCTTATTCCTTCTTTAATTTTTTCTTTACATTTTAAGAGTAATGCGTGTTCATGAAAAGAAATTCAAAGCAGTAGAGAAAAATGTAAAATAGAAAATAAAGGTTCTCAGCACTAGTCACTGGTCACAGTTTCTTATGTGCATCTTTTCTATTCTAGTACAAATCTATCATCTATCTATCTATCTATCT